GTTAGAACTACCTTGTACAGCATAATAAACAGTACCACATGAAAGTACTGCTCAATAGCTTTCATTTGAATGGTCACACACTAGGGTTTGATCCACAGACTTAGACCACCTCATACAGCATAATAAACAGTACCACATGAAAGGCACGTCCGCTTACAGTCACCCGGTTTATCTGCTAAAGACACACCTCCGGTTTTGTTTAATGAAAGTTTTTCTTCCAAAGAGTTATCGAAAAGTCTTAACTGACGAGGCTTCTGCACAAGCCAAGTGCTGGCTGTTTTCTACGATTAGGAGTGTTGCTGAATCAGAAAACTGCTTCTACAGTGAGGTCACTGTAGGTGTCGAAAATCTTGATATAGGTCGTCTTCAGATAATTGTTGTAGTAAAAAGCTCCAGGCTTGTCTTTGTGCTCAGCCAGAGCTTTTGCTGCCTGTTCGTCTGTGTCTCCAAATTTCTGCGGCAGAGCCTTCCCCGCTGCTGTCACCTTGCTTGGACTGATGGTTCCCGGCAGGCTTATATAGTAGAACGTCTCCGGTGGTGTGTACTTGTCGTGTAGTCGTTTGACGCGAATCCGCTGGCCTCCAGCAATGCCTGGTATTCAGGAAAGAACGAGTACTCATTAGGCCATTTACGGGTTGCTTTTACCTTGGTTTCAAAACGAGTCTTGGTGTACAACCTTTCATTTTGAAATGAGATTTTCTTGCAAGTTCATTGTCTTGCAAATCAAACTCATTTCCATATGAAAGGTTGTGTACCAGGACTCGTTTTGAAACAGAGGGAAAAAGCAACTCGAAAATGTTTTGTTGAGTAGTTTGCTTTATGTTGTGTCCTTGAGGGTTATCTTTCTTTAACATATGTGCGCTCTTAGCAGAAGACTTCGAAACTCTCTTCTGTACTAGTAGTGCCACCAGACAGTGTGCCGAATCATAGAAGCTTCTCCGCCTCCCCCTCCCTTCCACTTTACTCTTGTACATGTCATGATGGCACTTTCCTTCCGGCAGCCTTGATGTTTGTGAAAGTTTAAAGCGGAAGTTTGTAATGAAAATGCGCACGACGTTTGTAAGAAATTGTTATCAAAAGAGCAGTAACGTGAAAAATTATTATAAAATTCTCTTTGCACGTGTGGCGTACAACGTTAACCTTTCCAGCGACTATCTTAGGTTTTGGGTTGAAAGTAGAAGATTTCGAAAATTTAAGTTACTGCAAACTAATCTCCCACTCAGATCTCACTCTGTTTGGCCGTGGGTGGTCTGGGATCGATTTAATTATAAACAGCAGTCTTGGCGGGAAATGTGCGCGCGCAATGCGTTGGACGCTGTGAACATAGCCTCACCTTCATGGCTGATTTCAATCAGACGGTACTGGCCAGCGGTCTCTGCCTTGTTCGTAACACCGTCATCGTCCAAGAACATCTTATAACTGTTGTTCCGGCCAGGGTAGATGCTGAAAGTGATGGGGTTCATCTTGTCATGAGAGTGCAGCTCACCAATATACTGCTCAATCTCACGCATGGGGATAATGGCGCCTTCCCGGATGTAAATGGCGCAGTTGTCTCTGGTTGGGTCATTCCAAGGAGCGCAAAAATCGAACTCCATCCCACCCTGGACAGGATCTTGGAGAGGACTTTTGTCGTCTGTGAAATAATACCACTGGCTCCCAGCGGGGAGGTAGACGGCACGGTTTGTCTGACCTACAAAAGTGTGAAGAGGCAGCCACAAGTAAGGAGAGAGTTTTTCTGCATTTCTATATCTTACGCTGCTTGTAGTATTTATGTTCAATAGATGCTTTTCCTATATACTATTTTACCCGCATATTGATACTCAAGACAATCCTTTGCTATATCTTATCTTGCCTACATGAAGTACATTCAAGTCCTCAAATTTCCCGCAAAATTATCAACTCGCTTTTGATTGTTTCATGGTATAGTCTGCAAAAGAGGCAAGTGGTCCATCGGGCCGGAGTTTATCCTGGTTCCTGTAGCGTGAAGCGACTAGGAGTATTTCTCCCCCCCCCCCCCCCCCCCCCCCATGGGAGGGTATGGATACTTTCTTGAACAACACCTTGTGGTTAAAATTTCTGTTAGAATTTGAATATTTGGCTTAATATGCATGAAAAATTGTGCTGCTCTGTTGAGGTCAAGACATGCGACCTCACCTCTTCTCCTTTGTAATTCTCCAGTTTCTTTTCTTTAAGCACCAACCACAATGCAAACAGAAACATGATTAACCCATGACCACAGTCACCAAACATGACCGCAAACAGGAATGGAAAAGTGATGAT